GTAATTAATGCAGCAGCCCACTTTTCGCACCTTTTGGAAAAGGCCCCTCATCACGACAAGGACGTAGTGGAGCATGATGAGGTCGCTCTCTCTCTCTCCTTCTCTCTCGTGCTGCATTCGCTCGTTCCCACGACAATTCAACTATCGAAGCAGGTGAAGCAAGAAAAAGGAGTGAAGGAAAGGATTACTCCAGCTGGAGGCCAAAGGCCTTGGCACAAATCTAAGACAATTAAGAGTAAATGGCAATGAGGTACAGCATGGTATACAATGGTATAAGTAAGGCCAGCACCAGCTCATGGACTGTAGAGCCGGGAAGAGCTTGGTGACTAGGGTGGTGTCCGTGTTCTCCGTGTCGAAACCTTGAACGGCGTTTCACATCTTCGGCATTCTGTCTGGACGCTGGCAAGTTGTGTACTGAGCACTTGGCTGAAGCGATTCAGGACCCTCCCCAGAGGGGTTGTGTCCCACCTCGATGATGCTTCTCTAATGCGAATAAGCGCTGTCAGCGGCAGGCACGTCAGAAGCTACGATTGAAAGCGGGCCAGTCGGCAATCACAAACCAGGATGGTACTTTGGTGTTCCGAAGTGGATCATTCTCCAAAGTAGCAGCAACAGAGCTGGACCGTTAGGCGAGCACCATGCGAACAAGCCAGAACTGCTTGAACAATGCGTGATTCAACAGATTTCTTTACTTACCTTGTACAGCTCAAGCTGCGCTGGCGGTGTCTCAGGCTGCGACCACCACATGGGCGCCCGAAGCACGCTCAAGGCTAGCTGCTTAAAGAGTCCTGAGGCTACGAAGGTTCGAGCTCTCAGAGACATCTCGAGCTTCCGAAAAGTGGATCGAGAACTGTAAGGGGTTAAAGCTGAGAGGCGGCGCCCTGCGTTAACCGTTGCCACGGCGAACGCGAGACCTCACAGGAGTGCCACAAGTATCAACAGTGCCCTATAGTTCGCTTCTGCGCATGGCGGATGCGACCTTCACGCTGATCAAGAACCCTCAAGCAAACCTACACCCGAAAATTCTCATAAAACACTGGAGGTGCCCACGAGCGAGATTCAACGCACAGAGAAGACAAGTGTCGCCCGAAGGACACGAAAACAATCACCAGCAGCACCGTGGCAAAGTACACTGCAAAGTACATGGACCTCTCATCTGCAGAGTCCTGGTGCACCCATGCACCCAGTGGAAGGCATGTAGCAGTGGTGTGTAGCATCATTGAATAACACATGTAACACATCGGCTCAGGCCGACATCTGCCTCTTCAGCCCACCTGGCCAGCCACCAATCCAGGAAGATCAGCGCAATCCGCTCGAGAACAGAGCTGGCGAAGAAGGAGGCAACCCAAGGGAAGCCTGGATGTAGGAATCGAAGTGCAGACATTGAGGCTCTCTGCAACTACCACCGACACTTTCGCCTCCACAGCATCGGCAGTAAGCCTTGACAGAACGCCAGGATATCCTGTCAGTGTGCTCCTCTGATCTCATCATGCCTCAGAGGTGATGCAATAGCTGAACTTATACGCAAAGCCAATCACCAGCAAGCAAGACGCTCTTCGGCATCGGAGTCTGAGCTGTGACCAGCGCCGCTGCGGACCTGTGTTGCGCCTCCTGAATTCAGATGACTCCAGGTTTGTGCTACTGATGGCTCTGGCAAGCTCTCAGAGGCAGAGCTTTGAGTTTCTCCTCCGCATCCTCATTCTCTTCCTCCTCCTGTGATTGCTTGTCCTCCTTGGTCACCGTATCATCCGAGGAGGGAACCTCAGAAAAGCCAGCCGGCACCAGCCAAACTGAAACAAACAAGGCACTTCAAGGCACATACCAGCCACGTGCCTGCTCCTGTTGTTGCTCCTAATGTTACATGCACCGTCACTCACACATGCATTGTCGGAGCAAGCGATGTACTAGAGCTCAGGAGGGATTCCAGATCTCAACCTCTGATGGGGTCCGGCCCAATAGACTGGTTTGCTCCAGCAGTTTTTGACGCATCTGTACATGGCCGAGCGACATGGCCAAGCAGCGACAGTAGGTGTGGCTCTTTGCAGAGATCCAGCCAATCTCCATCAAAGAGAAGCGAGGAGTGCGGTACGGAGGCATCCTTCTGGCCTGCTGCCAAAATCAGGAAAGAACCCCTGGGAAATGAGACACTCACAGAGGGTGTTTGGCATGGTGCTTCCTCAGTACTGCACTGCACAAGAGCATGGCTGCGAATTGATGGCTCTCTGTACGTTCGTGTACTAGAAAATCGCGGGAGGCAGACTCCACGGAAATTTTGGATTCTTGGACTTACGAATAAACTATTCTCAGCACTAGCCTTCATACTTGAGCCCTTCACACCCGCCAGGCCTAGCAGCAGAACTCGCTGGGCTTGCAAAGCGCAGGCTGTTTGATGCGATGCCAAAAGAACAGCCCGATCCCGCAGGAGCCCCTTCTGTCCATGGAAAAGAGCCTTGATGATGTGGCTTGATGTGTGTGCATCCAGAGCTGAAAAAACATCATCCAGAATTACCATCGAGCATTTGCGCTGATAGACAGCACGAGCTAGTGCGACTCGCTGCTTTTGACCACCACTGATGGTCACACCCCTCTCTCCGATTTCAGTCTGGTCTCCGTATGGCAGCTGCTTCAAGTCTGGACCCAGGCCACAGGCGGCGAGAACCTGGTCGTACCATTCCGAGTCCAGCTCCTCCCCAAAGAGGATGTTCTCCATCAGGGTCTCGTTGCGAATCCATGGCTGCTGGGCGCAGTAAGCAATACCATGGCTCACGGACAGAAGACCCGACGAACAGCGATTTTCCCCCAGGATGCCTGCCAAGCACACATCGAAGCTCGCTTAGCAAGTCTTGGCTTCAGCCCGTAAAGGATGCAAACAACAAGCACTATTTAACACCGTGTTTTGCAGGCCTTGAAGCAAGGTGGATTTGCCACTGCCAACTTTGCCTAGAACCAGACAAAGATCGCCACGCTTCAGTGTCAGTGTCGCGTCGAGAGACAGCTGAAAGCATTCCTCCCCATCAACGTTGCAAGAAAACGTACATCTCTCCATCTTCAACTCCACATCGTCTTCGAGCCTGGCCACCGGAATGCCAGCCTCGGCGAGGTCTAGAAAGTGCTGGATGCGCTGCCAGCCCGTGTGAAGAGCCACAATAGACGCGAGCATGGAACCCAAGTCCATGATTGGAAATCGAAGCGCATTTAGCAGTGCCAACGTGCCAAAAAGGCGGGTAGCAGAAAACGAGCCCTCGCCCAGTAGGGCAAAAGCCACAAGTGTGGTTGCGAAGGCGAATGTCGGCGCCAACACCGTTACCAGCATGGACACTCCGTAAACCAACGACTCTCGCATGGCCCAATACAGCTCCTCTTGGCGCTTCTGGAAGACACGCTCCAGGTAAGGCCTTTCCCAAGCGAAGAACTTAATGCAACGTATCCCTTCCAAAAGCTCGACACACATCCGGACTCGCTGATCCGTGAACTGAAGATGCCGCTGCCGAGACCTGCCCAAGCGCAAAAATATCATGCAGACCCTTTCCGGCCCCGAAGAGACCCCCTTTGACAAGCCTCTGCAGGAGTTTACCTACGTTTTTGGAGATAGGAACCACGGCGATGAGAACCAGAATGCCGCACAGCGCGCTGGCTGAGATCGTGGACACGAGAACAGCGCCGGCCAGAACGATCTGAAGCGATAGCCAACGTGACGTTGACAGGGCCTCATCGGCGCCGGCTTGTGGTACACAGAGTAACCGTCGGGGTAGAAGAAGGTGTTTGCAATGGCTGATTCCCTAGCACATCTGGTAGCCGTGTGCCCGGCCGCAGTCACGACTGAAACTTCGACATCGGACGGACCGGATGGATGGCAGCAGGATAGCTAAGGAAGAAATGGGATAGAGTTTGCCGCTCTGGAACGAGTAGAACACCCAATCGTCTTTTTGCGACAACACGATTCCATGACCAGCTAGTTGCTGAACATGAAAGATGTGTGCTAAGGGCTTCGCGGTGATCCCCACAGCTTGTGGATGAAAGGCATGGCCTCCAAGAATTTCCTGAGTACCCGAGATTCTAGGTCCATATCCAAGCTGCAAGTCAGGGACCGAGCACAAGCACAGCGATTGGAAGGCAACGCAACTGTGCGCTCTCAGGGCTCTGTGCGTCAGATGCCATCAAAGTCAAGGTGTGACCAACAGATGGCCTGCCAAAGCATCAGCTTACAGGACAGCATTCTGTCCTCTTGTGGATCATGCGGAAACTCCTGAGCCACTGCCTGCAGCACCTTTCTCTGCAGCCGCTCACACATCTCGGCCCGCCTTCTCTGAGGATCCACTCGGAGAGCCTTCCTGGGCTAGGTCGGATCACCAACACACGAATGACACGAATGTGCACCGATGTTATTGGTGTTTTTGCACATGCCATGTATGGTTTCGCTGCGTCTGCAGTCAAGAAACTGGAAAACAAGCATGATCAGCTGGGCGCGCACACGTTGGCCTACATGAAACGCAGCGTGAAGCTGCCAGTGGTTGGCGACTGCTGCGCCCGCTTGGAAGACAGCGTATGCCAGAATCCAGTAGACCATGGAGTCTACAGTCGTCCATTCACTCAGCCACTGGAGCTCACCAGTGTCATCAGTCTCCACACAGCGGATAACCATCAGCATGATGATTGGGAGAGCGGTTTGACAAATGGAGTAGACCAGCATGGCTACTCCAGCCTGCAGTAGTGAGCACCTCTCCCGCCGCAGTACGTCTCTCACCATCAGCACGTGGTCAGGCAGCATCTCCGCCTGGGATGACAAGGCCCGAGGCTTCTGTCCGTGGCTAAAGATCTGCAGTTCCGTGCAACCGCCGTACCAAGGCATAGCTTCGAGTTAAATCAATCGGGCAACAATCAAATCTGCGTCGGGCGGTGAGCACAGATCCGTCGTCTGCACCACTCTCCTCAGCTTTTTGGGGGGTCGATGTGCAAGGCAATGAGGCGTAAAGTCGTTCGTCCCAGAGGCCCTTTGGCTCTCCGCATCGTGCTGGTGAGCCAGCAGAAGAGAACATCGTACCTCGGTTCGGTGCAGCTTGGGCTTGTGGATCGTCAGACCTGGAAACATGAGACGGCTCTTGCAACCCCCAAGGCCTGAAAGCGCTGCGTGGGCACCGGGGGCCGTAGGCTTCGTTTTCCATTGCTCCTCACCTAGCCTGGACGAAGCCAAAGGCTGCGGAATCGAGCAGTGGGACGTATGTAGTGACGTATGTTAGCATTGAGAAGGGAAGTGGCAGCTTCCAGCATTGCACACTTGCACAACCCGAAGATCAAAGACTGTTGGTTCCGACACACTCTGGCCGAGACCTCATGAAATTCAAAACAATTTGACAGATACAACGACCATCGAAGCACGTTTTCAGGCGACGATTCAAACTGCCAGTGTCGGTGTGCTGACTGCACTGCACGAAGTCTGTTGACAGGCGATGAGAGCTCCGCTCTCCGCGCAAAATGGAATCGATGTGCTCGGGCCTATGCGCTGATCATGTGCATCAGAAGAGCCACCACCCTGTTGGAATATCCCCATTCATTGTCGTACCAGG